AGACATTATAAGAAGGCATTTCGTTGTATTCCGCTTTTTTCATTTCAGGTGTATTCAACTATACGCGTGTTGGTGCCAATACCCCTTCCTGTTTTTAAACAAGGGCAGATACGCTAAGCCGTTAAACTTTGATTAGTTGAACAAGATGGTGAGACTGACAAAAATACTTCACAGTGGGCTAAGACGGATTTCTCGATTCGGTTCATTATATGGATCAAAGACCCGGTCCCTTACTTTGCCTCAACAGAATGCGTTTTTCAAGTCCAAGTTGGCCTTCCTGATTGCACTGATATTTCTTTGCTCCAATCTGTTTCTTTCGTCTACAGTACTTACTGCGTCAAATTATTCCCAGTATATCGAGGGTTCTAAGGTTTTAGATGGATTTTTCAAGTTGGATCTACGACTCTTCCAAACGAGCGGATTTCTCAACAAGTTCAGAGTGACATCTAAACCAAAGGTGTTTGTCGGTAAGAACAGAAAGTTTAACCAGTTCAGTTCCAACATATCGTCGGTGGCACACTGGAGCAAATTACTACAGGTTTACGAAAAGGAGGAAAATCCTGAAAAGTATCTTGATGAGCACAAACTCTCTTTCCATTGGGCTGATTGGATCGACACTTCACCAGCAAACGCCTTTATTGATGCGTATGATTCTTTATTAGCGGAGTATGATAACGATCCCGGTGAGTTGGCCAAGGTTGTTCAAGAGCGGTGCATGGCAGAACTATACGATGGTTCAGATCGAAAGGATGGAAACCTCTACGCAAAGGAGAGATTGAAGATTTTCGAACAGCTTGAAGACATTGGTATTTGTGGTTCAATTTTCATTCACTACTATATTCAACCTCCTAAATTGCTTGTTTTCGAAACCGATTTCCACTATTTTTCATGGCCTCTTGAGCATGAAATGGCTGAGAAGCCACGTACTATAAAGGAATTTGCCTCAACGTACTACAATGCTCCTAAGGTTTCAGCTTGGAAGGTTCATGAATTTTTCGACAAGACCTCAACAGAGTTGTCCAAGTTCCCAGAAAAGATGCGTGAAATTTTCAAATCAAAGAATTTAAGTACCAAGAAGATATCTCTTCAAAAGCAAATTGATCCCCCAAAAGATCATTTTGAGAGACCTGATACCGAAAAAATCCTCAAGCAGTTAGAAGAGAAGGGAAACCTCAACAAAAAAGAGAAGGAACTTGTGGAGTTTTTGAAGTTCTCTCGGGATAATGTGGCCAATGCTGACAAGTTTTACTGGGATTACCCAGATCAAGGGTTCGATAAAATGGCTCGTTGGCATCATTATATTTTCCCATGGTGTAAACAGTTGGTGGATTCTAGGGAGCGTATAATGTCAATTCACCATTTCGTTAGATCATGGTTCAAACTTTGTGAATTTGCGGGTGCTATTTCTTGGGTTGGGTACGGTAATCTCATTGGTTGGTATCGTCATTCGCGTAATTTGCCCTGGGATACCGATGTTGATGTTGTTATGCCCTTCCAGGATCTGGTGGTGTTGAGTGAAAAGTTCAACGCATCATTAGTCATTGAAAATCCAGAACTTGGGGATAATATCTTTTGGTTTGCAACAACGCCGTACTTCTATCAACAGAAGGATACCCAATTCATCGATGCTCGTTACATTGACCTTAAAACAGGATTCTACATCGACGTTTCTGCACTTTGGAATTCAAATGAAAGGGGACCGCCAGATCATTTTAAAGATGAAGATCCGAGTACCATATACCATTGCAAGCATTACAACTGGTTTTCTCATAGTGAGTTGTTCCCTCTTAGACGTACATTGTACGAAGGAGGCCAGGCTTATGTTCCACATGACTATGAGAGTATCATGATGCATAAATACGGTAAAAAATCTATGGAGGCTACAAGATATGAGGGTCACAACTGGCAGGAAGACATTGGAATCTGGGTCCCAAATGAGATCTGTGAGAAGGATGCGGTTCCTCCTAAGGGGTCCAGATTCGACAGTGATGGGAGCTTGACGTTGTTTGGCGCCTGTAACGACTCTAATATTTTAGAAGAGTGGGCCAGGTTTAAGGATTTATATGAGATCCACAAGAAGGAGTTCAAAGGCA